TCTTTCTTTTTCTTTGGCAAGTACTTCTTGCTTCCTCCAAAGTTTTAGTGACTTTAACTCCTTAACAAGGTGGGAAAAACTTTTTGAAGAGTCCAAATCACTACCACTTTGAGAATGATTACTCATGGTTAAGTAAAAAGATTTTTATATGCTATGCAAAAGGAAAATGTTTTTCGGACTTTTCTAGGAATAAGATTAGCACTTGGAGGTCTAAGTATAAAAATTTCACTATCAAGGGAGGTGAGCTACAAGGATCCACTTAATAACCAAGCCTTTTCAAGTGGAAATTATTAAACCTCCTTATGGTAATCTCGATTCCACAAAAATTTTCACAAAAATTTTAATGTTTTATGATTTTTAAATATTTTCTTGTCTTCTATCTAAACGTGAGCAATTAACATTCTACACAAACTAGTCGAAATTACAAATTAAAGCAAGTAAATAATTGAAACAAATCAAGGATCGAATTTTCCTAAGTAGAAGCTTGAAATCATATGAAATTTTCAAGCCACTTCCACTAGATCTACAAGAGTAAACTATACGGATGTAGATATACCTGACCAGCTTCTTAATACTCCTTCCAAGCTATTACAATTTGAATGAAATCAAAGAAAATTGCAAAGAAAATCAAACTAGCCTAAGAACAACAAAATTTTAGAGATGGAAATGGCAACAAATTAGTGACGGATTTGGCTTGAAACTGATTTTTCCAGCAACCAAGTTTGGTCACTAATTCGTCCTTAGTTTGATTCTCTTTTCTTGTTTATTACACCTGCACAATCAACAATGTAAGTCCAAAAATATTGAAGGCCACCTCACAATGGAAAGGAATGATCTCTCTTGTGAAGGTTATTTAGGAAGGTTTGATCTCCCAAAACCGTCTAGCCTTAAGTCCTTAATCTTCTTCTAGGACTTGTTGATGGAAGGTGGCTTAGTTCCATGCACGCCCTTGATCTTGGTTCAACAAGGGAGACTCCAAAATGGAGGTGATGTTGGCGGAAGCACAAATAGATGATGGTGAAGATGGTTTGCTCAAGGTAGTATCATCCAAGTGTAGGATGAGACCTAAGTAGGGTTTTGCTTTTATGGTGGAGATGGAAGGAGGTTAGCCAAAGGCAACCTAGAACTATGGAAAGGTTGGTGTTTAGGGTGGTTGAAGGTGGCGCACAAGGTGAAGGGAAGGTGTTTGGTGGAGGTGATGCTCCTTTTGGTTAGCTCACTTCACTAGGGTGGTGAAGGCCAACCAAGGAAGGCCAAGCTCACTCACTCACGGTGGTTTAGGGAGGAGGAGAAGGGAGGGGCCGTGGAGTTCCTAAGACTAAGGAGAATGACAATGAGGCAAGAATGCACACTCAATATCACTATAATCCAAAGTACATGCTTGCTTCCCCCTCTTAACAAAATACTCATTTCACTTTTCATTTGTAGAGTTGATTAATGCACATACCAGTAGATTTCTTGATTTCTTTAGCATTAGGTTGATGGAATCAACAAGATTTGTAGTCATTTGTCCCCATCATCGTCCTCCGTCACATGCAAGTGTCCATTGCTGCTTGGGAATTTGATCAACCTAGTTACTAGCCTATTCATTTATTACCTTTAAAATATTTTATTGGTTGTTAAACTTAGGCTCTGTCATGACATACTATAAATTGTAATCACATAATTGTGATACTATCTAGTATGAACAACTTTTTTTTTGTGTTCATTCTTAAAATATCTCATAAAGTTTTGGGTGATGTGTCGAATGCAAGCAGATGCACGAAGTTTAGTGTCCAACCACTCCCAAGTTGTGAGTAGACACTAATTATTGAGATATGTTTGTAAAAAATAATGCAAAACTCATCTTATGATGTGACATGCTTTTTTTTGGTTCTTTAAGTTTATACATTGTACAAATTAAAATATTAATAATAATTGAAAGTATATATAAAATAATGGTTTTAATAAATACAATTAAAAAAAATCACAAACGAAGTCATACATCCTATTACGTCTTTAGTATTTTTTTTTTAAAATAATAGTTAAAGTTTTACTTAGAGTTACAACTTTTATTTATTCATTCTTATTTTGTAAATAATTATTGGTATATAAAATAATAAGTAGTAAATGATAATTACAAATTTATTTTAGAAGTTATAGATATGACCTTGTGACTGTCACAACTTTCTCTTAAAAGCCATATTATCCATTTGGATAATCATTAAATAACATTATTTTTAATGAATAAAAAAAATTATAACATTCGCTTATATAAAAAAAAATTATATACTAAAAGAAATCATCTTAAATGTATTATAGTATCTTGAAAAATTAATCTTATTTTTAATTAGAGATATTAAATTTTTATATAAAAAAAATATTAACAAATTATAACATGTTTTTAATATTAATTATTTTACCTTAATTATTGAAAGACCCGCAAACTTTTCTTCTTCCTCCTTCCCCTCAACACTCTCATTTTCTCCTCACTTTCTTTTCCTTGTTTCAAATTTCTGAACTTCCTTGTGGTGCTTTTGTTGTTGAAGGTTAAGAGTAGAGGTGAGGAATTCTAGTCAGAAGTGTGGACCTTCTCCTTCTTCTTCTTTCTCTCCCCGAAGCTCGGATTCTACTTCTCTAAGATAAGGAAAGTTAGATTGTAAACTTATTTGTTGTATGGGAGTTTAAGAACTCATTTGAAGTAAGAATGTCAAGAATCATTGATTGATTTGAAGAATTTCTCATTTTCGGGGTTTCGGGAAAATTAGAAAAAATGCTGATTTTGATGCGTTTGATGGTTGCATGTTGAAATAAAGCTTGTTTTTGAGTCGTATGATGTAAATGTATTTCATTTCATGGATTGCATGTGCTTGAGTTGGCTGATTTTCAGGTTTTTGGTTGAAATTTTTGAAGTTGTGAGGGTTGCTGTTTGAATTCGCATCGGGCATAGTTCTTGGCGTTGGGTGTGTGTTCATCAGGGAACTCCATTGTCCAATTATGCTGGGCGCGAGGTTGGTTGCACCGAGCGAGATTAGGAATGGAAGTCTCTGGATGAATCACGCTGGGCGTGGGGAGAACCATGCCGGGTGTGATATCAGATAGTGGCCAAAAATTTTGAGTTACTGATATGGTGTTGGGCACGATTTGAGTGCGCCAGGCGTAGAGACTCATTGGGGGTCTCTACCTGGGGTAGCATCGGGCGTAGAATGAGCGCGTCGAGCGTGAGACCCTGGTGAGGTCTCTACCTGATTTGCGCTGAGCACGAGTTTGGCACGCCAGGCTTGGGAGACTCTTGGAAGTCTCTACCTACCAACTCGCCGGGCGTGGGAGAGCTTTAGAGCTCTCGGGTTGGGTTCAGGTCGGGCGCGAGTTTACTTGGGCCAGGTGTGATGTGTTTGATTATACCGATTACAAGCGGCCAATTTGAGTAAAGTACAAAGTCGAAAACTTAGTTCCTAACCAAGTATCGGAGGGTTGTAGTATTTGGAGGATAGTCGGTAGGCTCATCCCATAGATGGCTTATTTGAGCAAGCTAATGTTGTGGTAGGCCTAAACCCAGCTGTTCTATCCTGACATAGTGCTATACTTCCTTGTTTAAGTGGTAAAGTCTGAGAAATAGTGAAGTTGTGGATTGATATCCAAATTTGATGTTTACCTAGCAAGCCCAAAAAGGTTCTGTGTTGTCGGTTCGGTAGAACCTAGCCACTTAAACTACTTACCCATGTTGTAGGAGATCTCTGAGTTGAACTACGTGACGATGCAAAAGTTGTTGATGAGTTGAATTGATGTTGATATGAGTTGTATATATGTTGTTGTGTTGTGAAGCTGTGATTTAGTGGGGTGTTGTTATGTGTTGATCTTTGAATTGTTGAAATTGTTGTTCTGTTGTTAAAGCTGTAAGTTGTCTATATCTAAAAGTTGATTATTTTCACTAGCTTACCCTTGCATGTTTCCATGTGGTTTGGACTGCGATGATCATACTGTGTATGGGAGCAGAGCAGAGATAGGCTGGAGAGTAGTAGTAGTGCCACAGGTGGTGGCTGGAGCTGATTTTATGTAGGCTACCTCAGTGTAGCATTTTGTTAGTATTAGACATACTTTGACTTGTTGAGCCTCAGGCTAGATATATGTATATATTCTTTTTGTATGCATATTCTACTTTTGTGTAGTGTTGTTCTGCAGTGTGACGCCCAGGCGGGTCGTTACACTTTTATGGTATCAGAGTAGTTCGAGTCTAGTGGGAACTCTGTGGGGGTGGTCCCTTTAGGCTTTTATTGTGATTGAAATCTATGTTGTGCTGGATGTTGTGTTGATTTATGTTGAGTGGTTTAGATGTAGTGTGTTGAATGAGTTGTTACTTTTGTAGAAGATGCCTAGAGCAAATGAGTAGATAGCCCATGCCATGTAGATGATGGCTATGGCTATGCAATAGCAGAATGCCTACTTTGCAAGGATGGATGCTGAGAGAGCTACAGTTGGTGCAACAATACCATTTGGGTCACAGGAGAGTCAGGATTTGGCTGAGTTCTGCAAGTGCCATCCTCCACAATTCAAAGGTGATGCAGACCCAGAGGTGAATGACCACTGGATCTGTGAGATGGAGAAAATATTTACGGTGCTGGGATGTTCTTAAGAAAGGAGGTTGGATTTTGCCATTTATATGCTGGTTGGGGAAGTTGAGTATTGGTGGAGGGGCACTCATCAAATGTTAGTTACCAGAGGAGTGGTTGTTGATTGGGAGTGCTTTAAGAGGGTGTTTCTCAAGAAGTATTTCCCAGAGAGTGTGAGACATGCCAAGGAGGCAGAGTTTATGAGGTTGCACCAGGGAAGTTTGATAGTGTCTGATTATGCGATGAGATTTGAGCACTTGGCTCATTTTTATTCGTAGGCTATCTCTAAAGCCTGGAAGTGCAGAAATGATAGACTATGGCCAAGGCCAAGGAATCCAAGAGGTGATATATTGAAGGAACCAAGAGGAATGGGATGCTGGACCATGGGCCAAGGGCCCAATCTCTAGAGCTATGGCCACCTTAAAGACTAGTGGACACCTTGAAGATCAGTGGGCTTTCCAAGCCCAAGGTACTCTTCAATTTGGACCACTTTATCATGAAGAGAAGGCATAGTTCTAGTTGTAAATATCTTGTACATAGTTCTCTTGTATAGGCTTATTTTTGCCTTTGTATTTGTGAGGCACTTTAGTTTCTTTTATTAGTCATTGTATATTGATTCTAGGGTCGGTTACTTGGAGAGTTTGACTCCATTTAACCTCCTTTGTTGATACATTCATTTTCTATTTTTTTAGTAGGAAAAGAGGGGTGGCATTTAGCAATGCTTGAGGGTGTGACTAGTAATTGGGCCAGAATTGGGCTAGGAAAAATTTTACATATTGGACTCATTTTGCTCCTAATTTTTCATAGATTTGATTTAGCTAGGTTTCATCATCATTGGATGAACCTAACAAAACCAAATCAAAAAATTTTTGAAATTAATTCAAGGAGCCAAAAGAGACCAAATTCGCCCACCTTGCCTAGTCTCCTTTCTTTGACCGAATTACTTCTCTAACCTTCAAGGAGATGAGAAGCTTGTGCTACAAGCTTCTCCTTAGCTTGCTTCCCAAGCAAGCTAAGTGAGAAGCTTGCTCCACAAGTTTCTAAACTCACCTAGAAGGTCAACTAACCTTACCATGGTTCCTAGTGAACCATGGTTAAGGTTAGCTTGCTCCTTAAGCTACCTACCTCTATATATTTGTAATTTCTACTCTTGTAATCACTTTTGACATTTATGAGACTTAGAATTCAGAAATTCTCTCTCATTTCAAGAGTCCAATTTCGTGGAGAATCTCTTTCTCCTAGAAGCTTCACAAAGGAACTTCTCCTTTGTGCTTGGTTCCTCAAGTTTCTCTCATTCAAGAGAAACCGAACCACCTTGGGAAGCATCTTTAAGCTTTTGAAGCTTGAACTCATCCAAATCATCCATTAACGTGAAGAACCTCAAGAGAAGAAGGGACTTAGCATGGTTCAACTTTAAGAAACATCAATCTTCTCCAAGTAGTTCCATCAAGAAAGTTTGCTGAAGGTTTGAAGCAGGAGTTGAAGAGGGTGGTGGTGCCTATGGCCATCACTGAGTTTCCGGCCTTAGTTGAGAAGGCGAAAGTTGTTGAGCGGTTGGAAGGTGGAAACCGGGTGGAAAAGACTGTTGAGAGACCAACTAGGTCCAAGAGAGGTGGAGGTCAAAGGAAGCCTTATGATAGGCCCCATTCACAGCAAGGGGGTCCTATCACAAGGAAACCTACTGACATAGTTAGAGATGGAAGTCAGAGTGGAGCTGCCACTCTCAAATATTATAGGTGCGGTGGACCCCACTTGATTTGGGATTGCCCTCACACCGAGAGCAGGTGCTTTAGGTGGCCAGATGGGTCACGTGTCGACTAGTTGTCCTGCCGGTGCCAGACAGACTAGGAGTGCTCCAAGGGGTGTTAGACCTACTACAACTGGGGGGGTGTTCACCTTGACCGGAGTCGACGCTTCCACTTCATCTGATCTAGTGAAGGGGAAGGGTAAAGCTACTGGTAAGGATGTGATGATTTTGTTTGATTCAGGAGCCTCCCACTCTTTTATTTCCTATGCATGTGCTGAAAAGTTGGGTTTGCCTGTACGTGGTTTGGGGTTGAGACTGCTTGTGTCTACGCCCGCTTCTGCTTCTATTGTTGCTTTTGAGATATGTGTTGGTTATCCTTTAGAGATGGGTGATAGGAAATATGGGGTGAACTTGATCTGTTTGCCTTTAGTGGATATTGACATAATCTTAGGGATGAATTGGTTTTCTGCCAATCACATCCTTATAGATTGTGCCAATGGGGAGTTGGTTTTTCCTTAGGTGGAGGATGAGTTGTTAATTTCAGCCAAATAAGCTGAAACGTTGTTGAGAAATGGAGCAAAGTGTTGTATTCTGCTTGTTGTGATGAGTGTGGATACCAAGAAGGTTATTGCTGACATAGAAGTCATTAGGGAATTTTTGGAGGTGTTTCCGGATGAAGTACCTGGGTTATCTCCTACTAGGGAGATTGAGTTTAGCATTGGTTTGGTTCCTGGTGCAGGGCCAGTGTCGGTTGCTCCCTATAGGATGGCCCCAGTAGAGTTGGTTGAATTGAAGAGACAGTTGGAAGAGTTGTTAGAGAAGTAGTTGGTGAAGCCGAGTGTATCTCTATGGGGTGCTCTTGTGTTATTGATGAAGAAGAAGGATGGAGGTAGTCGACTGTGTGTTAATTTTTGACAGTTGAACAAATTGACCATTAAGAACAAATATCCACTTTCCTGGATAGATGACTTGATGGATCAATTGAAGGGAGTATCGGTATTTTCGAAGATTGACTTATGGTCAGGATATCACCAGATCAGGGTGAAGGAGGGTGACATACCTAAGACTACTTTCAGGACTAGTTATGGTCACTATGAGTATGTTGTGATGCCGTTTGGGGTGACTAATGCCCCGGTAGTGTTCATGGATTACATGAACAGAATCTTCCGACCTTTCTTGGATAAATTTGTGGTGGTGTTCATTGATGACATCCTTATTTATTCAAGAACCCCGGAGGAACATGGGGAGCACTTGAGGTTGGTGTTGGAAATCTTGAAAAAGAAACAATTGTACGCCAAGTTGTCAAAGTGTGAGTTTTGGTTGGAAGAGGTGAAGTTCTTGGGCCATGTTATTTCAGTAGAGGGAATTGCAGTTGATCCGGCTAAGGTGGAGTCAGCGTTGCAGTGGGAGCATCCAAGAACTGTCACGGACATTCAGAGCTTTGTGGGTTTAGTAGCTTACTATAGGAGGTTCAGTGAGGGATTCTCCAAAATAGTAATGCCTCTAACCCAGTTGACTAGAAAGGATCAGCCTTTCATCTGGACAGATGCATATGAGCAGAGTTTTGAAGAATTAAAGAAGAGGTTGACTACTTCTCTTGTGTTGGTGTTGCCTGATTCCGGTGAGCCTTTTGAAGTGTATTGTGATACTTCTCACCAGGGATTGGGGTGTGTGTTGATGCAGAACAGGAGAGTGGTGGCATATGCTTCAAGGCAACTGAAGAACCATGAGAGGAATTATCCTATTCATGACTTGGAGTTGGTAGTAATTGTTTTTGCCTTGAAAATATGGAGGCACTATCTTTATGGTGCTAGGTTCAGCGTCTTCAGTGACCACAAGAGTTTGAAGTACTTGTTTGATCAAAAGGAGCTGAACATGAGGCAGAGACGGTGGATGGAATTTCTGAAGGATTGTGACTTTCAGTTGATGTATCACCCATGGAAGGCCAATGTAGTGGCGAATGCTCTTAGTAGGAAATCCATCCACATGTCTGGTTTGATGGTAAAAGAGTTAGAGCTGGTGGAGGAATTCAGGGATTTGAATCTCTGTGTGGAGTTAGCTCAAGATCTAGTTGTGGAATGACTGCCATAACTAGTTAGTTCTTGAAGCAAGTTAGGTTGAAATAGTTGCAAGATCCTGAGTTGGTGAAAATTTTTGGGTTGTTGGGTATCGAGAAGGCAGATGGTTTTGAGTTGGGTGGAGATGGAATTTTGAGGTTTAAGGGCAGAATTTGCCTACCTCGTGATTTTGAGTTGAAGAAAGCTGTTTTGAAGGAAGGCCACAAGAGTAGACTTAGTATACATCCTGGTATGACTGAGATGTACCAAGACCTCAAGAATACTTTCTGGTGGTCTAGTATGAAGAGAGACATTGTTGAATATGTGGCGGCCTGTCTGACCTGTCAGAAGGCAAAAGTAGAGTACTAGAAACTAGGTGGTTTGTTACAGATGATGGAGATTCCAGAGTGGACGTGGAATAGTATCACTATGGATTTCATAGTGGGGTTGCCTAGGTCAGCTAGGAATAGTGATGCTATTTGGGTTATTGTTGATAGATTGACCAAGTGCGCGCATTTCTTGCTTGTCAATATCAAATGGTCCTTGGAGAAGTTGACGCAGTTGTATGTGAGGGAAATAGTACGGTTGCACGAGGTGCCTTCTAGTATTATTTCAGACAGAGATTCGAGGTTCACTTCCAAATTTTGGCAGAGTCTAGATCGACCCTTAGGCATGAAGTTAAGGTTGAGTTCTGCTTATCATCCACAGACGGATGGTCAATCAAAGAAGACAATCCAGTCCTTGGAGGATTTGTTGAGGGCTTGTGTGTTAGACCACTTGGGGAGTTGGGAGGAAGTCCTACCATTGGTGGAGTTCACTTACAACAATAGCTTTCATGTTAGTATTGGGATGGCACCATTTGAAGCCCTGTATGGTAGGAGGTGTAAGACTCCTCTGTGTTGGTATCAAGATGGTGAAATAGTGGTTGTGGGGCCGGAGTTAGTCTTACAGACTACTAAGAAAGTAAAGTTGATTCAGGAGAGAATGAAGACTACTCAGAGTAGGCAGAAATCATATGCTGATAAAAGGTGAAAGCCTTTAGAGTTTGCTGAAGGGGAACATGTGTTTCTAAAGGTGACCCCAACCTCTGGTGTAGGAAGGGCGTTTAGGGCTAAGAAATTAACACCTAGGTTTGTTGGTCCTTATCAAATCACCCATCTTGTAGGTCGGCCACATATCAGTTGGCTTTGCAACCGTTTCTTTCCAACCTACACAATGTGTTTCATGTTTCCCAATTGAGGAAGTATGTCCATGACCCAAGTCATGTAGTTGAGTTGGATGAAGTTCAGGTAAAGGAGAACTTGACATATGAGAAGTCGCCTGTAGTTGTGTTTGAGTACAAGTTGAAGGAGTTGAGGGGCAAGTCTATTGGCTTAGTGAAGGTTCTTTGGAATGCAACTAATGGTGAGGCTACTTGGGAAGTTGAGCAGTAGTGTAGAGAGCAGTATCCTTCCTTATTCCCAAGCAAGTCTATTTTCGAGGATGAAATATCTTGTTGTTAGAGAGGTTTTAAGACTCGCAAGCTCTTCTTCTTCCTCCTTCCCCTCAACACTCTCATTTTCTCCTCACTTCCTTTTCCTTGTTCCAAATTTCTAAACTTCCTTGTGGTGCTTTTGTTGCTGAAGGTTAAGAGTAGAGGTGAGGATTTCTAGTCAAAAGCGCGGACCTTCTCCTTCTTCTTCTTCCTCTCCCCGAAGCTCGAATTCTACTTCTCTAAGGTAAGGGAAGTTAGATTGTAAACTTATTTGTTGTATGGGAGTTTAAGAACTCATTTGAAGTAAGAATGTTGAGAATCATTAATTGATTTGAAGAATTTCTCATTTTCGGGGTTTCGAGAAAATTGGGAAAAATGGTGATTTTTATGTGTTTGATGGTTGCATGTTGAAATAAAGCTTGTTTTTGAGTTGTATGATGTAAATGTATTTCATTTCATGAATTGCATGTGTTTGAGTTGGCTAATTTTCAGGTTTTTGGTTGAAATTTTTGAAGTTGTGAAGGTTGCTATTTGAATTCGCGCCAGGCGTAGTTCTTGGCGTCGGGCGTGCGTTCATCAGGGAACTCCATTGTCCAATCATGCTAGATGGGAGGTTGGTTGCGCCATGTGAGATTAGGAATAAAAGTCTCTATATGAATCACACTGGGCGTGGGGAGAACCATGCCAGGCGTGATATCAGATAGTGGCCAAAAATTTTGAGTTACTGATATGGCGTCGGGCGCGATCTAAGAGCACCAGGTGTAGAGAATCCTTGAGGGTCTTTGCCTAGGGTGGCATCGGGCGCAGAATGAGCGCGTCGAGCGTGAGACCCTGGTGAGGTCTCTGCCTAATTTGTGCCGAGCGCAAGTTTAGCACGCCAGGCTTGGGAGAATCTTGGAAGTCTGTGCCTACCAACTCGCCCGGTGTGATATGCTATGCCGGGCGTGGGAGATCTTTAGAGCTCTCGGGTTGCGTTCAGGTCAGGCGCGAGTTTACTTGCGTCGGGCGTGATGTGATTGATTATATGACTAAGAAAATGTTGAATATTGTGATATGATGAGAAGATGTAGTTGTGTGTTGAATTGTAGTTGTATAATTGTGAAGAAATATTGTATGTATAATTTGGATAAGTTGTTTTGTTGCTAAAACATGTTGTTAAACGCTGTTGAAGTGTGTTGTTAACTGTCGAGTTGACTACGTTGTAAAGTTGAAAGTTAATTGAAAAGATGAGTTGAAAAGTTGTGTGTTGGTTAAGTTGTTGAGCTGAGCTATGTTGTTAAGTTGAAAGTTGATTCAGTTATGATGATAAGTTGTTGATCACTAGGACTAGAGGAGATATTTTCGAAGTTGCTCATCCCATTGTGCGGATTGAGATAGTTGTGGTGCTCTAAGAGCCCCATTTGTTGAAAACCCTCCTTGGGAAGTTGTCCTTGGAGTGGACGTTGTGTTGTTCTCCTCTACGACTTAGTTGGTCCCGTGTATGGGTAAGGTCGAGGCACACATGTACAAAGCGACCACGGTATAGGGGCCAGGTCAAGCTATACCAATTACAAGCGGCCAATTTGAGTAAAGTAAGAAGTCTGGAACTTAGTTCCTAACTGAGTATCGGAGGGTTGTAGTATTTGGAGGATAGTCGGTAGGCTCATCCCATAGATGGCTTAGTTGAGCTAGCTAATGCCGTGGTAGGCCTAAACCTAGTTGTTCTATCCTGACATAGTTCTATACTTCCTTGTTTAAGTGGCAAAGTCTGAAAAATCGTGAAGTTGTGGATAGATATCCAAATTTGTTGTTTACCTAGAAAACCCAAAAAGGTTATGTGCTGTCGGTTCGGTAGGACCTAACCACTTAGACTGCTCACCCATGTTGTAGGAGATTTCCAAGTTGAATTGCATGACGATGCAAAAGTTGTTGATGAGTTGAATTGATGTTGATATGAGTTGTATATATGTTGTTATGTTGTGAAGCTGTGATTCAGTTGGGTGTTGTTATGTGTTGAATGTTGAATTGTTGAAATTATTGTTCTATTTTAAAGTTGTAAGTTGTCTATATCTATATGTTGATTATTTTTACTAGCTTACCCTTGCATGTTTCCATGTGGTTTGGACTGCGATGATCATACTGTGTATGGGAGCAGAGCAGGGATAGGCTGGAGAGTAGTAGCAATGCCACAGGTGATGGCTGGAGCTGATTTTGTGTAGGCTACCTCGGTGTAGCATTTTGTTAGTATTAGACATACTTTGACTTGTTGAGCCTCAGGTTGGATATATGTATATATTCTTTTTGTATGCATATTC